AGTGGGACAGCTATACTTTACTTTACTCCAGGAAAATACTGAGACAAACCTTAAATTATGCCACATGTTGCAGTAGGCTGTCTCCACTACTCAGTGACCCCCTGCATGACTTGTAGACAGTTACCCAAGCTGTTGAGAACTCACATTTTTTGTATTTGTGAAGCATTAACCAGTGGAAAGTGAGGCTGAAAAATATACCTTTAAAGAGGGAAAGTTGAGAAGGGATGTCCAGAACAGTGGGAATTCTGAAGGGAAGGTGCAGCCAGCAAAATAGGGAAAATTTTGTGTATCCTTTCATTACTGATGCTGTCAGCAGCTTTGAATACATTGTGTAAAAGAATAGGTTCATTAATGAAAACTGAATGGACATGAAAAAAAGCACTTGTGACTTTCAAACAATTCTTAAAAGTAATATTATTTTCAAAAGTTTACATCTTGTTGCTTATCAAAGAAACTCACAACAAACTTACATATCTGTACTTTGGCAAAACCATGAAAGTGAACTACTTCAAACAAATAAACGTTCCATTCCTGTCACACAAATATAGTCATAGAAAGGTCATTTGTTTAAACGGTCCATAATTACTGCAAAAATGCAAACAGAATGAGATATCAGGCTACTAATGAACCGACATTGTACATATAATGCAAAAGGCATAAGCATTTACTTTAAAAAAAATACGTCCTGCTAACTGAAAACAGTGAAACTGTATGGGATAATACGGCGTAGTTTACTTTCTAACTTTGTGCAACAAAATACAGTATCAGTACCTTACCTGGCATCGACAAACAATATCTGCGTCTATTGCTAACAAATCGACAACCTTCCCCTTTCCTTCGTCGCCCCACTGTGCACCTAAAACAACTGTCACTTTATGAGTATCATCCCGCCTTGGTCTTTTCCTTGGGGAAGCCAGCGCCTGTCCGTTCATTTCTACGAAGCACTCCGCCATCTTCACGCCCCTCCGCATCAATTCCACAGACAAAAGCGTACCGCTAGGTACCAACCACTGTTTATAAAACGAAACCGATCGGAAGCTGTTCCAAGGTCACATTCAGTAAAATGTGTTTCTGTGCAGTTATCCATATTACGACAAATAGTCGAATAAATAAACACAGTAAATTTCATGTCCCATTCTCAGGTCTTAACATTCACTTATTACAATATTCACATTTGTGGAAAAATATCATAGGCAGCATATTGGATAACTGATACAAAATGTCCTCACCAGGCAACGTTCGCATCTTATACAAGTCGATTAAAGTGCAAAGCACACAACCTGAAATTCATGAGCTGCCAGTTGTCTCTGCGTGCAACTCCCTGCAACTTTCAATGGTAAATCTGCCCTGGCCTAGAACTGTTTCTACGCATAAACCTAGGACATATTGAGGTAATATCATTGGAGTCACCTTGGATGATCAGACATGGTATCGCAACAGGATACTACCTCCAATCATGGTGAAACCTTACAAACAAAACAGCTGTAATTTAACAGAGAATTCCACGTGCACTTCTCACTTTGCCAAGTGAACCAGTCCAACAATTTGCAACCTCCTTGTGGAGTTACCAACATTTTCAAATATTTGGAACCTACACTGCAGAATTGTCAAAACATGCTATTTAAATTACATAATTGCAAATCTCCAAGATTCACTGGCCAATTTATAACGAAGACTTACTACAACTTTTGTTTCCTGGTCTGGACCATGCAAATAACATGTAAAAGAAGTTATTGTGCTCAGAAAAACAGTTACGTCTGACAGTGGCAATTTCAATCGCTCTGCAATCAAGTAACATGTCAAAATTCTAGTTACCTTTATGCAAGATAGTAATTGATGCTTATCATATTAGATGTAATTATAATAAAGTTTTAAATTACCAGAAATTGAGTTCCTTGGTGAATCATTTATTGAAATCAAAGTATTCAACAGCAAAAATACAATGCATCTATACTAGCAATCTAGAATAAATTTTAATCGGTTACTTTATATTGCTCTAATCTTACAAGATACACAAAGTTTAAAGAAAGTAACAATGCCACCCCACCTTTTAGAGCAAATATTTGCCTGAACTGAAAAATGACTTGGCAGTGTCAATCTGCAAGCGAATACCTAACTAGTACAGTGTTAAACATAATTCAGTACTTGCAAATCTGAACATATAACAAGTAGAAGAGCTCAGTTTCTACTGTACAACAATCTTGTCACTTCTTATTTGAAAAAACCTTCTCTCAAGAAGACGACTGTCTTCTGGAATATAGCGCTGTGTAGTCTGGTAGAAGTTTACCAATGTTTCAGAGGTCATTTCTGCTTCCATCATCAGAGTGACGATGATAGAGGCAGCAAGGGCCTCTGAAACAATGGCAAACTTCTACCAGGCCACATGGCACTACAACCCACAAGACAGCCAACTTCTGACTCACCACTGTGAAAACCTCAAATCATACTTTTCTCAATAAAACTTACTGATGAACGCAAGTATTTGTGCACAAGTTTTATCTGTGAGCCTTCATTTATCACAAGGGGAATAATTTTTTGCAATGATATTCAGTCAGGGAACTATATGACAAAACTAAAATATAATCAGCAAAGTTTCTAAATACTTACAATCAGATGTCTCAAAAATTTTTAACAATATTTTCATCTACCCCTGGCCCCATCATGACTGCATGGGTTACTGACTATATTATTTATTCATAAATGGAAAATGTAAAGATAACTCATATAAGTTTTAATGAATCAACTGACTGATATATCCTGATGGCTATGGGATGCCTGCACATTTCAGTCACATTAGCTTCTCTGATGGATGAGAAACTTTACAGGACTCCAGTTGAAACAGTTTATTAAGAAGGGTCTAAATCTGATATACCTGAATGGAAGTTCTGTAATAATTTTATGGGTTTTATTTATAGATTTTTGGATTTATTTCATGTTGATATTTTAGATATAAGTAATGAGAAAGTGTGTTGATTTAATTAAGCATGAATTGCACAAGACATTGCTCAGTCCTGTTACATTGTAAAATCTTGTGGAAAATAAGAGACACAGGAAGCATAAGAATGGATGAAGGTGTACAAAGCATAATCAAATACCACCAGCTTGTAATTACTTAAATATTCTTAGTAAATTTCAAGATGTTGTAATGATGCAGAACCTAGTATGTGTGATCTTAAAATGACACAGAGGTGCAAGGCAGCCCAAGCTAATGTGGCCTCAGAAAGCTTGGACTTATTAAAGTGGACAATGGACGGGAATGTAGAAACAAACACAAATGTACGAAAGGAGAATGTTTCATGTTTGTGCACTTTTTCTAACTGGACTGAGAAAGCAGCCAAGAAGACATAATTTCACGCTTTATTATGAGAGGCACTGAGAAGACAAGTACATCTCTAATGTCTTAAGGTGCAACATTTAAAAGAGAGGAATCTTGACCCGTCATGACACACTAAGCACCAACGGATTATTGCCCACACCCTTCTGGCAGCGTGTCTCAGCATATGTAATTTTCAGGTACAACAACGCACACACTATGCAATCCATATTACTCTACAAGCCTGCCACTTTCAGCTTCTTTGTACGACGTGTGGCATGGGTAGTCTCTGAATCAGATGTGTCTGACTCAGATTCGTGAGGGTAACTTGACACAGAGTCTGACTTGGAGCTGACGAGGGACACCTCACTGGACTCAGCAGCATAATTTCCTGTTGCTTTAGCTTTCTCCAATGTTCGAACTGCAAACATCAACATGGCACGTGCTCTGAAGTATGTACATAAAATACAGTGACATCCAAGTCTCTGGGGTTGTTTATATACCAATAATTACAGATGCCATCAAGTAGCTTTCTATAATTTATGCAAACTTGTTTTCATATATATATATGGTTGACTACAATTAGATCACACATTACATAATGAATACTGACTGACCTTACTGGCAAAAAAACCCATTATAAACTGAGCCAAATCATTTCAAATCATCACACCTGTGTGCAACTTTCAAGCCTACCCCTTTAGATTTTAATTAAATTTGATATGCTTGTAGACCCTATAGAAGTGGGTGAAAATACTATTTAGCCGTCTCTGCCTTGCAATATTTCCGAAGCAGGAATTAAAAAAACGGGAACAGTTTGTAAAACTAGTTATAACTCTGGCCTGAGACAGTGAACAAAAGGAGCCAGATTCTGCACGATGTAAGCAAACAAAAAGCTTGACTGGCTATCAAATGCTGAGCATTCCTCAACTTTACATAAGACAAAATACAGGAGTATGCAAAATAAAATTTTTAGGCACAGATAGCTCAAGGAAATTCCATACCGAGGGTTACAGAAACATTAATGTTTCAGTGTGTGACACAATTTAGTTACAGTGATACACATATTATTTCTAACATTTTAAATCTTTCACTGTATAATTGTAGTTAATACAGAGTGCCCTGGCTGTGTAAATAAATTTGAAATGGTTTTAAGTAAGTTTATTTTTTCTAAAACAAACAAAACAATACTTCTGCCTGCTGTTTTGTATGGGTGCATAACATGGTCTCTCACTCAGAGGGAGGAACACAGATTGCAGGTGTTTGAGAATAGAGTGTTTAGGAGGATATTTGGGCCTAGGAGAGAAGACGATGGGGTCTGGAGAAAACTGCACAATGACGAACTTAAAAATTTGTACTCCTCCCCCAAATTGTCAGGGTGATTAAGTTAAGAAGAATGAGATTTTGCAGGGCATGTAGCACACATGGATGGAACAAGAGGTGTGCACCAGGTATTGGTTGGGAAGCCTGAGGGGAAGAGAACACTGGGGAGACCTAGATGTAGATGGAAGGATAATCTCAGGCGTTATCTATGGGAGATAGGAGTTGAAGGAGACTGGATTTTGTTGGTCCAGGACAGGGTCCGGTGGAGGGCTTTCGTTAATTCGGTGAAGAACCTGCTGGTTCGGTAAGCCATGTAGGTAGTTAGTTTTTTTTAAATATTTACCATTTTTTTATATTCACTTAAAAATGCAGAATCTGCAAATAACATTTTACTTAAGCTGTCTTCTGTATATGTTTAAATCTAAAAGCCATGGCTACCATTTAACACGACAACACTTCATACAAAATGGTACAACTTGAGTAACAAAGCTATATTTTGTAACATCTTGAGGGGAAAATTACATCTGATACAGACAGCAGCCTCTGCATATTTACAGACTGCAGCATAAACACGAGATCCACAGGTTCACTGAGTCTGAACTTGCAATAAGGCAAATCCTGTGAAAGTGGCTGCTAGCATACCTCATATTATTGTGAGGTCCACAGCAAAAGAGTTGGTGTATTCACTGCATATATCCAAATACCATGTACCCCCAAATAAGAACATCATAATTTTTACAATGTTTTAAGAAAAAAATTATCTGCAGAAAACTACTACCAAAGAACAGAACTGACAAAGTATACTGATGTGCCTAGTGCCACACTAGAAATCTATACAAACACTTACTGACTGACAAAACCACAGTACAATGAAAAGTTAATAAAAAAGTATGACTGCCATAAAGTTACCAGCATGCTCCACCGATGCTATAACTGGCACATGAATTATGCAAGTCATAATCAGTGAACCAACTACACTTTTGAAACAGCGACAATTTTCTTTGTAAACATTAGGAAACATTTGTGCAATATCTGTTTGCCATTTTCCATACACAATGTTCTGCTTAAAAAATTTTCTGCAACCTCAATTTGTGTTTAAGCCCTCAATGTCATTTCTTCAACTTGTTGATTTCACTTGACTGCATGATCAGACTGCCACCTATCAATTAAAAATGAGGAAAGCATTTCTTATTCTCTGAAAATTTTGCTTTGCAGTCACACACTGCCTCTGCACAATTTGTACTCAATCCTGATTGTCTGCTAGAGCCATCTAGCAGCAAATCAGGAGAGACTTGTGTGAGAAATGGCCACTGAATTTTGCTTACGAAACATCTGAAGGAAGTTGTGCTACGGGTCTTTATCACCCTTAAAAATCCATCAACCACAGCCGGGTCTGAACCCGCGAACATTGGGTCCAGTGGCGAGCACGCTAACCACTAGTCCACCGAGGGTGACCTGTGCAGTATCACTGTGCAAAATAATGTTTCTCGATGATACACATAACACAAGCAATGTGCGGGGAAACCAACACCACACAATATATATTGACCACTGAAGACCTGCATTGCCATTCATTTGCATAAATCAAGCCATGGTAAGAAAAATGCAGATGCCAGTTAAACTGACACATATATAATAATTACAGTTGACCTTATTATCACAGAAAACCTGCTGCATATGAAGATATAATGTGGGTAAGGCAAGGACAGTCTTGCAGCGACTGACAACTGACAATACACTCCTACTCCTTACTTCCACTGCAAGAAAAAGGACATTTTGAAAGTAAAGCTTCTTGCACTGCCCAACAGTAGTTCACATGAATGTTTATTATCTCACGCACTCTGAGCTACTTAGATCAGATCCTTACACACAACAGCATCCATTATTTAGTGCAAAACTGTTAGGAAAAAAGTGGACATGATATTTGGATAAATAAATCAGAAAAGAAACTGCAATCCTGAGGCAGTTATATTATTAAATTGGGTGTTCTAGCAACAAACTACAATGAGCTGGCATAACACATATAGTACAGTAAGTGGACAACTTTATTTTTAACATTTTGTCAAGCAACTATGTTTATTTCAACATAACTAACATACATGATGCATCAGTTCGCATCAGTTAAACTGATGCATCACGTCAAAGTCAACTTACTCTGTGACTCAAGTAGGGAGTTCTGTCTCTTCAGATCATCGATGTCCTGCTGGTGTGCAGAGTTCTTTCGCCTCATGAACTGTATGTAATCCGCAGCTTTCTTCAGAATTAATGCCCTGCTGACCTGAAATATAGCAGATTTGACCATCCTCAAATACAGAAACAGAACTGTCAGAATAATGGACATTCAAAAACTTGTTCATTTTCTGCTTTACACCACAGCCCAGATGGGGCACCTTACAACTTCTAGTTCTCTCAAGAACTGAAGAAAGATCTCAGAGGCAAGAATAAACATTTAGTGTGGGGGGATAGTGGATTTAAAACCAATACTATGAGGCTGCTGGCCAGACTTTAGGTAAACAGTTCAGCAGTATGCTACTGTGACTAAAGGTCAATAACGAATAAGGCCATAGAAGTTAAAATTAAGGTACTAACAATGGGTTCCAAGCAAGGGTCAAATGACAGAATGTGTTCACTGCATTACAAGGTGGATACTTTGACCAGGGTACCATAAATACACTTGCCTTAGTACTTCCTGAATAGTCTTTATATTACTGGTTCAAATGACAAATATTACAGAAATTTTTGGAACAAGGAAATACTCATGATTAAATTATAAATTTTCCAGCATGGGATTATCAAACACAAGAAGACAAAATCTTTCCCTGAAATAACGAAACCTCTGAAAATACCTGTATAACATAAGACATCCAATCCCACAATGTAACCCTTACCACTTTCTCTCCTTGTAATGCTGGAACTGATTCACGTAGACTGGTGAAGCTATCCTTGATGTGGTCTCTACGCTTCCTTTCTAATGCATTGTGATGTGCTCGTTTCTCAGCCTGCGACACATCATCATTGTAAACAGAAAACCTCAGTTCACAACGCTATGTCAGTACTGACCTAAATTGGTGATGTAAACACACCATGAACTCTGAAAACTATCTACAGCTTTCTGCACCTCAAATCAATCACTTTCCACATCCTTTATCAAAAAAACAGATAATCAAGATGCGGTGTCATGGTTAGAACTATATAACACAGTCCATGTAGTAGATTCCTTCTTGAGAGAGCTAGAATAGAAATTCCTCATTTTTTAGGGAAAAGTTCATTACTGTGTTCATAAGACCCTCTCCTGTTTCATATTATGAATATCAGCTAGAATTTCACTTGAGACTGTCCTCAGATTTCTTTGTTTTTCCTTCTGGTCCTTCAAAACCTTGAAAGAAGTCACAAATGCCTTCTACCAAATCACAATTCATTAGATTCTAAGTAATATTTGCAGCTGAAATAAAGACATAACACTAGACTTTGCCAGAATGTGTAATTGACCAAAACTGCCTTGGTTGTAGACTGACACTTCTCTTTATGAATTAACAAGATACACTCTTTGATTTTCAAATTCTGATTACATAATTGTAAAATAATTACACATGAAACAAAACTAAATAAAGGGCATAATAATATGGGTTGCAAACTGTTTAAGAAAACAATGGAATGAACTGTTATACGTTTTCAATAATGCCAACAATACTCAATGACACAGCCCGCAGAAACTGGTATCTGTATCTCTAAATTATCGAAGTGCACAAATCTTGAACGGTACTCAATTTCACTTTCTAAACAATCAATAGAATAATCTCAAAAGACTTTTTAATGTAATTGGCTGAAGTCTTCCAACTAATGTAAATTTAAATCACGATATAAATGTACAAAAGTCAGCACTAAGAAATTAATTTTCATCTCCTCCTACTGCGCAAAATTTACTCAAATGATTAAATATCGTAAATATTTACGTAAACAGCTATATCTACATATTTATATTTCTATTGGTATTAACCACTGTATTCATAATAGAACATGTTCCACATCCTTGGCTTGTACTATAAGAGGTCCAAGTAATGTAAATAAATTCTCGTTTTATTCCAACAGAACACTTCTACAACACAGTCCTGTGACCTTATAGGCAAAATTATATAAAACAATCATACGGCGACGTGTTACTAATACTGTTTCAAATACCCATGACGTACAAAACCAAGTAAATATAAACAAGTTCGTTCATTAATCAAAGATCACAACTAGATACGCATTTGCGACAATAAACACATAAAAGGTATGTACTACTTACCATTTACGTACCAAAATACGAACTAGTTCACACTTTTTAAAGGCGTTTCTGTATCACAATGTCCAATACCAGTAGCTAAAAATCATACTAAAATGATGTACTACTAATATTTACGTACCAAAATATGATCAAGTGCTCACTCTTTACAGATGCTTTTAAGTCATAACAACGTCTAATATCAGCAGCTAAACGTCATATTTACATAAAAATCTTGTTGGTTAATAGCTCGAACGATTTAAATAAGGAAGAAACTCGAACTCTACTAACACGCACTCTTCCTACCTGCGATAAATATTGATTACTTGACTGCCGTGGCTGCCTCGAATCCGAATCTTCATCCCCTTCCTATAATTGTAGGCGCCAAATAAGATTAATGGACACAACAAAGAATAATCCAAACTAGTATTCTTCACATATTTATATTTTAAATCTATCGACTACAAACTCACATCGCTTTCAATATCAATATCCCTGTCGTCATCACTCATTGTACACCACTCAATGTCTAGCACGGATTATACAAAATGGCGTCCAACCCAGATACCCATGCGGTTTCAAGCACGTGGGGGTTGGTATTAAAACGTTCATTCATATACATGGTAACATATTCTTAAATATGAAGCTGCAACTCTCGAACAATAAATATGTATGTTCATCGTTACTATAAATACAAGCCTCCACGACAACAAAATAAAATTTCTATCCTAATTAAAGTAAATCAGACTTAGTCTTAAAATCAAATACTCCTTGCACAGGTTTACCATCCTGGTACAATGTCATATTTAGCTAAATTGCGACATGTGTTACCTGTTACAATCTCTCTGTGATATGTGGGAGGGGTTCACATCAAAGCAACATGCCACCGGAGATAAACGATTATCATCGGAACATTCACGGAAAAATTGCTAGTTGCTAGATATGGGAAATGTCTGTGAATGTAATGATCGTTGCATAACACATATTCTATAATTCGCATAAACTTCTCGTTCTTCGGTAATCAGTACCTATTATAATGCACTGCACACAAGACTTTGAATGCATGGCCACCCCAAATCAACCCGCCCCCACTTTTGCATATATTAGAGAAATGCACAGCTGACCCTACGATCCCCTGATTGTTTCTGACCATAAATAATTTGCCTCAAGACACAGCAATTACACCGTGTATCGCCTATGTTAAGATGGCAGTATATGTATATAATTAAATGGAAACAAATATTCCCTGGTTGAAAACCTAGAATGTAAGTTTCATACTTTACATCCCATAACCCTGTAACCCAATGCATCCTTAAATACCATCTATTAATCATGCAGCAGAGAAAGAAGCAAGATACAAAGCAATACAAATATTGTAACAAATTATGGCTTTCCTTTTTGGATTATAATGTTCACTTATGATTAATTAAAGAATTAAAATGTAATAACAACAAATGTGAGAACACTAGGCATTGTAAGTCACACTTTCAAACCATCATTTGTCTGAAGATGGCTGTATTCTGAGTTGTAGCACCATGTAGTCTTCTAGAAGTTTACCAATGTTTCAGAGGTTTCTTATATCTCCAATTCCACGACTCATCACCGTGATGATGGAGACATTCAGTATATTCTAGTGTAAAAATAAGCAGGAAAAGAAAAACATAATATTACAACAGGAGACAATTATCATGCCTCTGCAATGTACATGGGTAGCACAAATGGCTGTTCAGTCAAACAAAACATTTCCTGGTCTCCCTCTTTATTTCTTTCATGTCTGACATTATTAGCACAAGTTTTAAAACAGCATAATTTTCTGTAAAAGAAGTTTTAAAGCAGACAGTAGAATTTATTTTCATACAACCTTATCTTCATGTTGCCCTTTTCTAACAATTTTTTCCCATACTTCAAAAACAGTTTTCAGATTATGAAAACTGAAGATGCATACAAAAACAAGAACAAACTAAGCACACACCAACTCCGTTTTATAAGATAACTCATTCTGCTGTGACTCTCATACTTTGTGTTCTGAAGATGTTTTTGTAATCACAGTTTTCAAACAGCCAGGAAAGTGACAAATATATTCCATAGAACTGCTAGCCCAGTTTTCACACAGAATGACGAAGATGGAGGCTGAAATTAAGATGCATCTTACAAGGGGATCCAGCCATGTGCTACCCTCCATTTCTGACCACTTTTACAGCATACCTGACTTCCTGGCTAAAACATTAGGTGTAGACACTCCATTGTTTCTTTGGAAAAATCAATATTATTTTCTACTTTCTACACTGTTACTTCACATTCTGATAAAGCATAGCATTTTCATATCATTAGTGATAGTGCAGTTGGTAGCACACTTTCTTATGGTGCATCCAATCCATATTCTGTTCCCAAGAATGTTTATTTAATAATTATCCTGTATATCATGGCAATGGAGGATCAAGTTTTTATGTATTTTCTTTCTTCCTTTATTCACATGTGAAAATTATAAGAGCACAGCTGGTTTCTTAACATGTTATGACTGAAATTAAATTATTCTAACACCTTTTCAGAATGACTCAATGACAAACTGACCAATAGCTTCCACAGTCTTATGTTAGAGTTTGTTTTATTCTTCCATGGTGGCAGGGTCCCCCACAAAGTTCCTGTATTCAGTTGTTTGGAAAATTGACTTTGTTAGAGCAGCCAACAGTACAGGAAACAACAAGACAAAATCAGTTATCTGTAGGCTGGTCTGTCATCATGGAAGAACAAAACAAACCTTTGTGTACAAATATGAACACTGCTGGTGAGATTGTGAATGAGACATTCTGAGGTGTTACGATCTTGTTGTAGCAGCAGCAGTAGTAGTAGTAGTAGTTGTATCGACTACAATAATAATGATGATGATGATGATAATTACGACAATGATGACAACAAGAATATAGATAATTTAATTTAATTTCTAGTTAGGCTGACAGCACTTCTACACAATAATACTTGTTTATTGTTAATGTACAGGGTGGGTGGGAAGTAAGTAGGCATTCCCATTTAAAGAGGTACATGTAAAAATTATTTTATTATTATTATTTTCATTATCTTTGCATTGTAAATATAGAGGTTATAACCATTTCTCAATGCCTACTTACTTCCCACCCACTCTGTATATTAAGAATCCACTACATGTTTCGATCCTACTTGGTCATCTTCAGTGTTCGAAACTAATTGATGATTGCTAATTTGTACACATATTTTCTGTTCTGTATACAAATTCGTAAAGAGAGGATCTGGCAGGCCAAGAATCTCGTGGCTTCAGAACTTAAAAACTTGGTTTTCGATGTCCACTGGAGGGCTGATTCAAGTAGCAGCCAGTAAGGTTCAAACTGCTATGCTGATCACCAACATCCGGAGCAGATAGGCACATTAAGAAGAATACAAATTAGAAGTCATATCTATTAGTTTCAAACACTCAGAGACAGCCACCTTAAGACGAACAATTAAGGTCAAAATAAATAGTGGATTCTTAAAAAACATTGAAACTATAATCAAGAATCACTGTCTAGATGGACTGTCAACAAAGTTCAACACACAACAGGATGCATCCCTTAAAATTCTTAATTTAAATTCAGTCATGACACGGTGAGAAAGTAACTGCATTCCTCTCGCTTTTGAATGTGAGTAAAGTAGGTGAAGGCCAGTCCCCTAACACGCCAACTTGTCTATGAGGGAACATGACATCCAATCGAAGAAAACTTTTCGCCTCTGTTTTGTTTTCAGACTTAGAAAAGTAATATACATTAATTCATGTTTTTCTTCAAACTAGGCAGACATATTGGTGTCAGTTTAACAAACATCTGGCATAAAGAAATGTAGTGAACAGAAGGTACAGAGAAGTCACATACACCATCTGTACGCTTACATCTCTTTCAGCACGGGACTTAGAAAATTTCAAGAGCTTGATTTTTGTGGTACAGAGTGTATATGAATTTTTTTATTTATTCTCGGTTTACTTAATAATACCTTCAATTCTTTAGATCATATTGTGTCAACTATCAGGATGACCAGAGAATAATGAAATGGAAAGAATGTGGAAGGAAGTGGCTGTGGCCTAATTCCTGGTATTATCCTGGAGCAACTGAGAAAACCTGAGTCAGGAAAGTCAGTCATGAGGCCAAGATATGAAACCAGAACCTTTAATTATGAGAAGTAGGCGTACTACCTACTTGATCATGACAGTTGTTTACTTTACATGACATTAGACAATTTAATGGCGTGATACTTAACATGATGAACTGTCTGATAAAAATTAAGTCTTTGAACATGGTAAATGTGGTAAAAAATGTGCATTAGTCCTTCTGTCATTATGTTATTTTGCTCTCACAAAAAATTCCAACCAGGTGAACAAATTATGATCTTATGCATTTCAGATATGAACACAGGATTTAATTGCATTGAAGACAAATACACAAAGGACGCTGCATCATGTACCTTGACTTCAAAACTTACCAGTCAGACTGCCAGCCTGTTCTTTGCCTGTGTGTGCAGTCCCTGTGAGATCTGCAGTGGTGTTGTGGGATAGATCTTGATGGGCAGGTTCCAGACCATTGTCTCAATGTTCAATGTTGCTGGTCCCCTCCATACATTTCCATTTTCCAGGTCTTTCGCAGGCAGTTCATGTATCAGCTGTGTATCACTAGTCACAAACTCAAAGTGCAGCCTCCACTGTAGCGTTACTGCACACAAAGCATCACAGTCAAACCACATACACAGATTAAAGTTAAATGAAACCAAATTTCCTTACTTTCTATTCTATATTTATACCAAATTATACATAGTTCATCAATTATTAACAGTAGAAGTCAAATTAATGCAGTCAGCACACTGTCATTTCATATTATACACAAAAATTACCTGAACAGAATACATTTATCAGGCCTGTCACTACAGGAAGTACAATGGCACTTGCAACATTCCCGCTTCAGAAATGTGTCATTGGTGGCACGGAATTAAAACTACAAAAGGTAAATTGGCTTCCTATGGCACAACTGTCATAAAGACTAATCACATGCTTCCAGATGTATTAGAACACACGTGCAGACAACGCCATACCAAAGGCCTAGTTTAGCAGTGGGAAACATAAAGAAAAAGACAAGTATTCACCCAGATCAGTGGTAAAGCCAGGAGTCACATGCAGTGGGATGGGCAAGATGAGCTGAGAGTGTTTCAAGCTTAGGCACACCTCGTGGTACTTTGTATATGATACCACAGCCGAGCCCTGCTTTGACCACCGGCGACAGCCTGGAGTGACTTCCTCTTCGCTCTGCAGCACCACTGAGAACTACAAGACCACAGTATTCATTAAATCATTATACAGCACTGAATAAAAAGATGATGCTCTGGTATTTCAGAAAGGAAAGCCTTCCAGGCAATGTCACCAGAAATTATATAAACAGCCCACGCGGTTAGCTTTACTCGGAAAATTTCTGTCAGCATCCTCACCTGCACACAAGGCACCGTTGCTTCCGAGAAGTCAAACGTCCCAACAATGTCTTCCCCAAGTTTGTACGCGCGCTTGAAGAGGCAGAATCGCACAACTCTGCCCTGGGACTTGGTAATGTTGTAGAAGTTTGGGCTCCGCTTGGCTGTCACAGTCTGCAACAGGTTCAACTTGTGAATGGCAAAAGGAAGAACACTTATTTTTCCTTCTGCCATCCAAAACTGGTTCACTCACAGAATGTAATCTGTGTCTTGGTCTCCCAAATGGCCCCTTCCCTCTCACTCTAACAAACCAAAACATTCTATTCTCTTCTGCATCATATTCATATTACCTGCACAGCCTGCATGGCAAGATCAAATGGCGTTTCCTTCTGACGAATCTGAAGAAAAGGATTGCTGGGGGCAAGTTCTTCACTGTCACCACAAAGGGAGGCCTCCTGAAAGCCTGCAACAAATGTGAGGTGAAATGAATTTTGAATAGTTACATCATTTCCAAAACATACCTAATGCTCATCACACTCCTACAATCCAGGTACAGTAAATCTCCTCTTTTAAAACGAATCTGAGTTCACTGACACTGTCACTAAACAACAATTACAGTGCATGTCTCCGTTTCAACTGCTGAAGAGCTGTCGGAAGCTGAGAACAGGACGAGAGGCCTTCATGTGGTGACACACACGCGCTGCCTACAGACATAATTTAAGTCTTTATGTTGAGTAGCACGTGCAAAAAAATTATTTGCAGACAGTACCATTAACCACAAGCACCCTGAGGGGGACCCGCAGCAGCTTGATGGGGCAGTTCACTCTCTGCATGCCAACTGTGATCTTGTATGAGTACTTGACAGCCTGCCCCCGGTATGATGGAGGAGCCTCACTGGGCAGCACCTCACTGTATAGGTCTGAAAAATACAATGTGATGCATCAGGAATATTAGAAATGAGATAGAAGCTGTAACTGTCCACACTGTTCTGAATCTCTCTCAGGCAGACACATCTAGTTAGTGTCTACTTAAATCTCAGGATCTGAAGGAAGATGTTGGACCAAGGAAATAAAACACAAACCTAGTAAATGTGAATTCTGAAGTTTTGGAGTGCTGATGGGCACTGCTTAAATGGCTGTATCTTAGATACAGTTAACTGTTATTTTCATACAAATGAGGTTTGATAAAATATCACAAATATAAACATGAACCTAATCTGTCATACATACAGGATTTGCTCTCCCCAGTAGAAAGACGCAGGTCACAGAACAGAATTCTGGGCTTTGTGGAAAGTACAACATGACCTCTCTCTCCTCTACATGGTGCGAATGATGTGTCTGCAGCACCAAAACAAATCAAAATTAGATAAGGCACACATAATAATTAGAAATTATCTTCTTTGTAATATTTTGGCTTTTAATCTGAGAAGGATACAATCGGCTGGCATAACAACAACAACAAATACAGAATGCTGGTTGGGAGATGTCTTGAAAATTATAATTCAGAAGATGAAATAGAAATGTGATGACAATGGCATAATGAGTCATAAGAAACTGGACTGATCTACCTCAGGAAGGAACCCAATGGTAAGGTTTTGTATGAAGAGATGCTGATCGAGAGACAAAAAGCTCTTTTTTTGTCTGTCCACCACATATAATGGGCCTTAATTAGAACACTCACCTCTGTCTAGTGATAACATCAACAATATGTGGATATTTATTCATTGTTTATTTAACAACACTGTCAGTAGCTCAGAATACACAGCGTAATATAATAGGATCAGTAATAAATAATCAATTGTAAAGGATGTGACTTGGCCTAACTTATGGTGTCATCCTGGCATGTGAAAAACCTTAGTCAAAACAGCCAGTTTCTGGGCTCACATTTGAATTAGGGACCTCCAGGTATGAAGTGGTTCTGCTGACCACTCAGCTGTAATATCTGACAACAGATCTTTACCTCTGCTTGGTGCTACAGCACAGGGACAAATTTACCTCTCTAGGTGCATACCAGTGTTGGCAGTAGACAGCTCCTCTGCTGTGAACAAGTTCCCATCTGGATACATGACTTTGCTGTTTGTGGTACACTGGCAGTGGATCTGGACACTTGCCCAGGCGAGGCTTTCAAGGGCATCACTAAAACACAACCCCACAGTACAATATACTGCCCCAATGACCAGCATACTCTTATTTACAAGTTTGAAACCAAACATACTTAGTCCAGTTTATAGTGGTCAATGAAGTAAATATGGCTGTAGTCTGTATGATTTGAGGTTTTCACAATGGTGAGTATGAAGATTTCTGTCTTCTGGGTTGTTGCGCTGTGTAGTCTGGTAGATGTTTACCAACGTTTCAGAGGTCATACTGCCTCCGTCATTAGGGCGATCTGCCAGACTACACCGCGAAACAACCCAGAAAACAGCCTCTTCGGACTCGCTGCCGTGATAACCTCAAATCCTAAAAACGAACTCGCATACCTTATAAAAACGAACAACTTGCAAACCTGTACACACGCTATAACCTACCTATTACAGTGATATCTTTTATGTACAGGTGCTGGAGTATTGGAAAAGGTAATGTAGCACTCGACTGATTCGCCTGCTAAATACACAGGTCCCCGCACTAGTTTAGCTGTAACCTCAATCATATTTTCTGTTTATAACTTTCTTTAAAGTACGAAAAGTCACACAAAACCTCAAATGATTGGCCAACCAAATTAAAATTATCGCATACTTCGATTACGTTTAACACACTCAAATAGTTTTAATCGCCTTTCAATCTGTTGATTCTATTAGCTTATATCCACGGAATCAATTCAGGAAATCTTTGATGCACATAATTGTACAGGCACGGAACTCCAGCACATTGCCACTACCACTCAAAGAAAAATTGCAGAAGTAAACTTTATGTCAGAGGAATAAGAGTTTACTGGTTATTCTGTGCAAATTGCGGTCAGTTACCCTTTGTACGAATGAAAGTTTCTTGCATGCATACTTTGTAGCGAAATCTGTGAGGTGGTAAAGGCGTTACCACTTCATGTATTATTTTTTTATCGTTGACTTCATCGTCTTCGCAATAATAATAACAATAAATATTGTACAAGCGTATGGGAATGCTTATATCTCACGAAATATTCAACATATGGGACAGATTCAGATTAAAATTGCAGCTCTATATTATAGGTTATATACAAATCTTTTATACATTAAGCCATTCTCAAGGAAATCGTAGGTAATTGTACATTACAAAAAGCACACTTTATGCCTAATACAGAGAGGATTAAATTTATTTTAGAACTGAGTTTGTTCGAAAATCTGTTTTGTCCTGTAACAAATTAATCAGTGATGTAATCATTGAAAATTAATTTTATGTAATTTCAGCAAACACATTATTAAAATAAGAAATGCCATACCCTACTACAAAAGCACAACCAGAACAAGATTATATTATATAACATTACATTACAGAACTGGGGAAAGCTTTACCAACAAACTTACTTTTTCCCTTTTTTATACAATAAGCATGCAGAGATGGGTAAGCTGTTTTGATTACAGTGTTGTGATTATGAACACTGAATTGGGAGCAAGTTTAAATGGCCTATTTTAAGGTACTATCTGTGTATTTTATTGTTGGTGCTTGGAAAATCAACTGCATTCAAGTCATCATATTGTACATTAGCTCCATGGAGCAGAGTCCTTCTTAAGAAGGAGACAACGCTTAGCTAGACCTACATACAGATTAATAATCCTATTAAAATGCATCTCAAAGGATTAGGATGTGAGGGCACGTGCTGAATTTAGCAGACTTGTGAACCATCATATTTTATAAATGAAAAGAATTTCCTTGATCATCTGGGCAATTATCAGTATTTCATGGACAGCTGTGCTGTACAGTTATTATTATTAGTAGAAGTGAAGCCTGTGAAAGATGCATCTCAACAGAACAATTGGCATGGATGCCACTTAATTGTGGGACAGGTACTGTGATGAACAGATAGTGATCCAATGAACAGCTTCTATAAATATCCAATCTTAATGTCACATCCAAACCAAACATTCATATCATACTCTGTTCCCAGCTACAGAGAAACTTTTAAACATACAGCACACACAGACTGTATTTATTTACATAATTTCCTAGCCTCACATTTCTGAGCAGAATAGTAAGAAGTTTTTACTCCACATATTTACTGTTGTCACATCATTCAGATAAATAAAAACATGCTAAATGCAACCAGTCATTCGTTTCCCTCTTCAGTTTATCCAAGGTTTCCAGTTTCTTCCTGAATTTTCACCTTACCGCCTCTTCAGAAAGCATCACGTTTTAAAAGAGTCGCACTCAATAATGGCAACTATCAAAATAAAATGAAGTGCTGGCTTATAAATTTTATTCCTAACACTCGTTTTAACATAATCCACTGAGGCAAATACTTTTTCTTTTGACTCATATTCATTCCAGAAAAAACACTCATCCTTCTAAAGAGTGAATCACAACCAATATGCAGGAACAGATACACTGGCATCAGAAAAAATGTAATAAACCCTCAAATTTATCCCAAGCTCTAGAACAAGAAAATTAGAAAAGCATATTGCATATAACATTTACTCGTGTGCACTCACAGCAATGCCATGGCTCAAAATTTAATTTTCCCCCAACAGCTTTTACTGATTCAAAACCCAATTTACTTTCTATGAAATACACAGACCAGCTAATAAAATCCAGAAAGCCCCGACACTGTTTACATTTATTTGTCATGAGTCAATGCACCTCAAGACAGGTTAAACATAATCTGTACTGAGATCAAGATGGAACAACTGGTTACGAAAACATCACCCAGAATGAAGTTAAAACACAGGAAGAAGCTGAGGAGCAAACATCTTATGAAGAACAGTTTTCTATTATTTGTGGTTTATTTAATGATTCTGTCAGCAGCTTAAGACAGTATAGCACTGGATGATAAGAATATGAATAAAGACTGAATTGGAAATGGCATTAAAGGAACTAGCCATAGCTTCATTGAAATTACTGGCCCTACATTAGCCTTGAGGGACTGAGGAACACCACAAAACCTCAGTCAGCATAGCCTTTCTCTGGGCTAAGATCTGAATCTGGGACCTCCTGGATACAAACCATGAGTGCCAACCACTCGATCACATTCTGTAAAAATGATTCTGAAGTCACATCTTATCCGAATGTGAAACTCTGTATGCTCAAGCAGTTTTAACACATGTCGTACGATGTCACCAGGGAGCACAGTCACACAAACACTTCCATGTTTGTCAAAGAACAGCAGCATTGCTGCTTGTATGATCTCAGAGTTCCTCATTTTAACACGTCTTCTGTTCCCCACTTGGTCTGTGCTACATACAATCTGAAGCTTCTCTTCTGAACTGATGCCCACCTATCAAAACTTTGGCTCAACTAGACAAACAAAGTCCTGAAAGCGGACCAACTCATCCTGCATAGAGACCGAAACTGTTCCTCATTTACGTTTAATTCTTTAGCGATGTGGTTGCATTGTGCAGTAAATTCAGTGTTGATGTGAAGTACTCAATACTGTATTCTCCTTTGCTGCTGTGATATTCTCCTCGTCTGATGGCATGATGCAGACTGAACCAAGTAATTTCTCATGTGTGCTGATCAGCAAGAAACTGTTTGCATGAAACTTATTACACATTAACAATTTCATGCAACTGGTTATTTTGTGCACAACCAACCAACTTATGCAACATTTATTTCCTACGGAGGCAATGCTGACTATTTGTCAAGGCCCAAACCAAACTCGAATAAACAATGCCAATTTTGTTTCTTTTCAGGGGTATGTTCAAAAAGAGCAGGTAATTTTGAATTTCCAAAATTTGATATTAACAGTCCATAAACTCAGAACACATGAAACACAAATCTGCTTCCTTTCACAAGTTTATTTCAGAAAAATACTGAATTTCTTTACTTGTCCAAAGTATCTGTTTTGAAATGCCTGAAATTCTACCTATAAGTGCAGACAGGATTCTTTGTACATCAGAGAAATAACAGGATTTCAAGGCATGAAGTAGATTGAGCCAGCTCTTGTGAATGTGGAGATGAGATACTGTTAGGTTCCGTATCAATGGTGCAAAAAGATTAGGAAAACACACTACAGATGTCAATAAATGGATTTTTCTAATCCAACTCTTGATGTGAAAAGGGTAGTGCTGTATGTGGCATGTATTGCAAAGTTCAACAAGACATTAAAATAACAACAGTGCACATCAGATGGAGTCCTTGTAACAAATTGCACCCAAAAACAAAACAATTAACCTTCTACACAAATAAGACACCAAGAAGTTAAATAGAGCCTATTTTTTTTACAAAATACGTTACAGTTCTAAAAAATAAAGACCGCTGTACACGCACAAATATATTCAAATGCAACACATGCTACATTCCCACAGGGGCCAGTCACACGCATCATCTCATCCTTCATCCTGTTCTCCTGTTCTAGGCACACCGTGAAGGCAACACCTGATGTCTTCAGCTCAGCTTCTTGCCTTTCACAACCACTGGCTTGTTCTTGATTGTTCCCTTCTTACGTTTATTGGTCTGCAACAGAGCACACACCTGCAATACAGTCTCCCAATCTAAATAATCAACAGACCAAAAACAAAATCAACATACCTTCTTTGATACAAAGATCTTGCTGCGTTTTATTTTACGTTCTGACACCGGTATTCGTGGACGGTTGAACTCATCTGGCTTCTTGACTCTGCAACAGACATTATCTATTAGCACTGCTAAGCCCCTTCTGGCCAGGAAACAGCTATCTTAACCCTTTAGAGTCCAGTGGTATACATATGTACCACCTGCTCTAATAATCAATAATTCTAAATTTTATACTTGTGGGTTTTGAGTAAGTCTCACTACAAACAGTGATTATTTCCTCACACAGCATTAACCAGTTGATATTTGTAGTGGTGCAGTGTGGTGTTTTCTCTGTGGTAGAAACTGAATTCTCAAATATTATTCAGATGAGCTTCAGCTTTAAAGAGTTAAGCCCAGTCAGTTTTTGGCTGGAGACAAAGCACTGGCCATAAAAGAAAATTCACATTTTCCATTTTCGTTGCATTTTGTGTACATGAAACTCACATTTATGCGAGTTACAAAGCCCCCCCCCCCAAACTGAATGCTGTCACTTTAAACAAAAAAGATGTGGTCACAATAATCTGTTTTCCTTTGAAGTCAGAAATGAACAAAATTTTAGTCAAAAAGCCTGAAGGGAAGAAGTTGTTTGACAGATGTAGTAGACAAGTATGAGAGATTAACATTAAGTGCATGTTAAAATAAAAGGTTGTGAGGATGTGTACTGGATTAAGTTTGTTCAAGATAAGATCCATTGGCAGGCTAATGAACACAGTTAATGAACTTCCAGGTCCCATAAAAGACAGTTTATGACTGTTTCAAGATGCCCTTGCCAGTAAGTGAATTAAAAGCTATACATTGTTCATATTGTGTTCTAACCTAGAACAAAATATATTTAAACATGACTCAACAAACATCCTTTCAGAACAGTGCAGCTAACAGACTTAACATTCTCATTAGGGAATAGACTGGTTATCCCCAATGGGTGAGAGATAGTAATCAGCTTGCACATTCTCAACTGTTCTGTACACTCATAAAATGTTACATTTTTAAGTACTTCAAACTGTCATTAATTTATAGACAATCATTTCATACAGAAAGAAGCTATAATCACCCATTTAGGCCACAAACTTTGTACAGCTGTGGGTCTGTGGGATTTAATACATTTGATATTTACTGCCAAGATCTGTGTGCTTCAAACTCACTTATATACCCGGACAAGCCAGTGTTCTGTGGTGTAGGCCTCCTCCAGGTATGTCAACTCAAAGTTTTTGTTTCCAATTATCACATTACGGGTGCGGTCAAACCCTGCAGGACTCCGGTAGTCCAGCTGCAACAAGAAGCCGCAGTGAGACACTTGTTGAAAACATTAACCACTGATGTACCATTCCATGTCCAGCATACCTTGAATTCACCAAACTTATAGTAGCTCAGTTTGTACATCAGACTGTTGAGCAGTGTAGGTGTTCCCTCAGCATCCACCCGGAACTCGCCCCTGTCTGTGAAGTAGTCACTCTCCTACGACACAAGTAATTTAATAACAGAATGTGGCCAGTGTGGTGTTTACAAGGCGTAAGCCTGGTGAACACAATCCACTCTTTGTCATCCTACAACCCATGCATGTGTTCTAAGTGGTCAAATCCTTTCATGTATTCAAACTAAAACTTTTTCTAAAAAATATCTCTATGAATTTCTCCTGGCTCCTGAGCATGCTACATTCTCTGCTCACTTTATCCTCCTTAAAAGGAACATGGTCAAGGACAATTCTACTTTACATAGTACAGACCTTATCAAAGAACTTGTAACAAGCCGAAGAGACTGGAATGGGATAAAAATTAACTTGGTATGTTATCATTTTGGGACAAGGGCGGGTTACGTTTTACTGCAACAGCTGTGCACAAACACTCACCCGAATGTCCTGCGGGTGCTCCCCTTCTGCTATCCGCACCATCCACAAGAACTTGTTGATGTCATCTCCAGAGTAACCAATCACCCCACCAAATATCACCAGGACATAGTCCACATCCAGAGACACCATTATTTTATATGCTTCACTCTCATTGGAGGACATCGCTTTGCCCACCTACAATAACAACAAACGTTCAACCTACAGGCACAAGCTTTACATCTCAGCATTACCAACACCACTATTGCTGACTCACCAGAGCAATGTGGCTATTATTCCACGTGTTGTTATCTACAAGTGTTGTGCGGTTGGCCATGCCCGCAATCTGGTACCCATAGTCCCACCAGCTCATGACACGTGCATCATTGTCTGTATTCTGAGACAGCCAGTAGTATGCTTCCCGGAAATCATCCAAGATCTGCCGTGACCTGTAGCATTATGCATCTCGTGTAGTGGGACAACAGACATTTGTAAGGAATTTTCAGTTTGCAAACATATAATGTTGTTAGAGTGATCAGATTAAGGATATACGGGCAAGGCATGCAACATACTGGCTTGAAACTTCATGGGAAAACACCACTTGGGAGACGCAAACATGGATGTGAGGGTAATAGGATTTGAAGATTAAAACTGGATAGCACAAAATCCAATGCAAAGGATTTTGTGACAAGTCATAATTTGTAAAGTCCTATTCAGAAAAAAGGTGAACTGTTCCACAAGCTGGTAAAATTGTACATACTGCTTGTATCAACAGAACTTTTGAAAATTAATATACCCATTGCTGACAGAAATATACTTGAATCTGTGGGGTGACATAATGAGCTCAGAGGCAATGGTGGTTACATCAGAAAAATCGTTCATCATGTACCATCCATAGATTGAGGAGCATTGGTGAGGCAACTGTGGTGGCAGAACAGGTGGCCTTGAGCATTCCACTACAAATCCAGTGTAACATTGGCTTTTGCTTGCGTTGTGCAGCAGAGATGCTCATTTTATCATACCATCACTTACTCAAAGCTGCAAAATGCCCAACAGAAGTTATAAATTTGGGCACAGCCGGGACAGATTAGAAACTTCAAGCCAATATTCAATATTTACCATGAACTGACCTTCAGACTTCACTGTCTGAACATACAATGCCTACAGATAGAGCCACTGTGCATTGCTTCCAGATATGGAGTGGATGTGATTATATCAATAGCAGTTTCAGACAGCTGACAAGAGGTGGTCCTACCACTTGAGGGTTGGGCAGGAGCTAACAACCTGTCACCATGTTACAAAATGTTACATATTACCCCAGACCTTGATGAATTCTTTGTACAGACCAAAGGAAAGGAAAATGGACACAAAATAGGAACATGCAATGTCAAAAGTCTGTACAACAGGTTCACTGAAAACAGTAGCAAGAGAATGACCAAAAGTACTTTAAGGAAATAAACATACTGAAAGTTTTCTCACCCATCATGGCTGTAAGAGGCCAGGACAATACTTGGGCTGGAATACGCATTGCTAGTGACCCATGTGCAATGAACTGCAAACATCATCAGCAACATCAGAACAGCCACAATCACAATACTGCGGATGTTCACACCCAGGCCATCCGACTCCTTCTGCTGCTCATGTTTCATCTTGCGCAATTTCCCAGCCTGTGAGATCACATGGATGTAAGTGCTCCCACAAGCAATACTGTGTATCACAACATGTCACACAAAAATTTGCTGACCCTTCCACCAATATTTGACATCTGTATTAGAAGAGGTTTCATGTTCTCATTGCAGAAATGATGTCAATGACGGTCTTCTGGTTAGTAATGGTATGTAGATGTCAAAGTATCTACCTAGAAGTCCACACAGCATTACTACCCAGAAGACTAATACCAACATCTTTGTCAGAGATGAATTATGTCTCAAAAAGTTTCCGATCATCACAGTAAAAAGAATCTCCAAATGCAAAAGTGTCTAAAACATTTGCACTTAAACTTCTACCTTTGTTTATATCATACATTTAACCTTCATGACTGTGGCACTTGCTTCTAACCGACCTCTGTTGAAAAAATTGTTTACGTGTTTGTGAATGTATTAATGATTGATGATTAACTTACAGTGGCTGAAGGCGTTACCCCTCTTCTTCTTTCTCACATTCTGTTAAAACAGTTCTCAGATTTCCATGATTCCAGTTTCTTTATGAGATACATTACACATTTACAAATTAACTCCCACAACGCATCAAAATATTTTGTTTCAGCTTCATGTTTCCCCTTTTACACTTATTCATTCTGATATTTTCAAACAATGATGCACTGAGATTTCCGGCTTCTGGGTTGTTGCGCGACAACCCAGAAGACGGAAATCTTCATACTCACCGCTGTGAGAACCTCGAGTCTTACAATGATGCATTAATTAATAATGGGCATTTACTTTCAGCAAAACTTGCCTTACATACATACAGAAGTAGAGATTTGTTCATTTTATTAAGTGTTGGACTGCCAACACAGAATAACCTGTACCTTGTCATACATGTTGCGACTGTTTCCCTCCCCGCTACCCTCGTCCTCGCTGCCACTCTCAGTCACTTGAGGGCTCTCTTCCTCTTTCAAGTACAGCTCCAACAAGCGTGAAAATGCCACCCCACTCAGCACACACACGACAGGCGTCAGTGTCAACATGAGACGCACCATCACACCCGCAAAGTACACGGCACTGAGCGCATACAGGACCACTACAGCAAACACAATGTGAGGTCAGCAAGCAAAGCTAATGAGGGTAAAATATGCACTGACAATACAAAGTAAACTTTCAATGTCAATTTTAAAACTCACCAAACACACGCTCATCAGTGATGCTCTTGATACAATACCACAGACCCACGGGGAACGTAGTGACTAGAACGTGAAGGTCAAAGAAGAAGGAGAACCAAGTGGTGGGCTGGTGCTCGGACACAGATGCGATGATGGGGATGTGAATTTTGGCATAGCCTGTGTCCCACAGAGAGTAGAACCTGCGACAATGCACACAAGTCCCTGAGTATAGGAGTTTCTTACTTGCAGCACCTGCATTCAATGCCAGATGTTACACCATACCTGCCACTCCAAGGGGCAATCACACCGGCATATGTGAGGCCCACAACAGTAAGAAAGACGAACACCGGGGTGAGCAGGGCTGCCACCACAAAGAAGTATTTGAACTCTGCACTTGAGAGCAATGACTGCAGGTACTTCAAGAACGCCACTGCAATCAACAGCGCAAACACACCTGCACAAGAGATGAGACACATTGACACATAACTGCTACATGCAAGATGCACATTGCATCGGTTGGTATGAAAAAGCAGTAGGATATAAGACATCAATAGACACTATACTGACATATTCAATTACTTATATATTGCTGATGAAAAGGTTCTTCATAGTTGTAACGATTAAACGAATTTTTTGGTAACTAACTCCATGGAGCACAGCCCTTCTTCAGAAGCTGACAGTACCTCAGAAGGAAGACAAGATAAAAAAAACCCTTTGAGAGCAACTTAGCTTAAATCTGTTACAATTACACAAAAAATTAATGTTCAGACAAGCATTCTGAAACAATGAATTTTCAATGCCTTTTATTATTATTTTAAAGTTATGATACGTTTTGGTCTATCAAGACCATCTTGGGGCTCTTCTCAAACAGAGTTAAATGAAAGCAACAACTCAATGTGAACAGTGCATCAAAATCTAGGTAGATATGTACTGCTTTAAAAACACAAAACAAATCGCAGCTGAAAGTATATATTCATTCTCTAAATGACTGTAAAACGCTAGTCACCCAACAGAACAGTGACAGCTGGCAAAAGCTAAATACATTACCAGAAGCTGCCATGTGCTCGCTAGTTCGGATGGGCTGGAAGCCTACAAATGGGACCTGCATACTAAGCAGAAGCCCCAGTATGTAGAACGTAGAATAACTGGTGAACAAGCGATTTGAATAGCGCCCCATCACCAGCAATGTGAAGACATGTAGTGGAATCAGATTGATGATGAACACGTAGCCTCCCCACGCTGACACCTGCAAATGCACGGACTCACTCGTATCAGCGCGCAGGACAGGCTCAAAACAAAGTGAAACCATCTCCTTGCCTGTAAATGGAATCCTGCCCCATTCTCACGCCTTCACCACAGTCTTACCGCAAAGCAGGACATCTTGTGTATTTGTAACACTGCATATTAGACTTTGTGTCTTAAACTCAGTGATGCGAAAAACATTTTTCTGTTCAAATGTTGGGACATCTTTTGTTGTAAATCACAGTACAGGCACAATAATGGCCTCCACAGACAAACATCACACCCTACATGACAATGATATTGCCATTTTGCAAAATAAAGGAATACAACACAAAAATATTATGAAACAAGAATCAGAAAGTCTGATGTTATTAACATTAAACATATTTTCAAGCCTAATAATACATTAAGTGACACTCACCATGTAGAAGTATGACAGCGCTGTCAAGCAGGACCAGAAAATTGACCCCGTCTTTACTGCTTTCACCTGCACAGGAAATTCCCTCGGTTTATGTCGCACAAAGCCCACATCTGATACAATTGAAAACTGTTCCTATTGTACAACCACTCTGCTATCCAGTTTAATTCTAGTTGGTGCCAGAAAATAAACTTGACAATGAATACAGTGCATGCATAATATACCTCTGAAAACCCAATTGTACTGCTACAACAGGAGGGGCGTAGGGCACATTTAGAGTTCTAGAGTAGTTGGTATATATCACACAAAATTACAAAGATACATCACACTGAATAGGTTGGCATAGCATTCAGGGATGATGGCTGGATTGCTGGCTTATTCTGCCTTCCAGGTAAATGGTGCAGCAGTCTATATCCTCAACTATTACTACTCACTTATTTCAACTAACACTGTATAAATTCTACACTTTGAGTAGTCACCAATTAACCTCAGAATGAACCAATCAAAACACCATGCTGTGATGGTGATCTGGAGGCTTCCCATTAATGCTGATCAGCGTAGAAGATGTCAAAACAGCAGACACACAGACAGATGAATAACAGTTTTCTAAAAAAAAATATGATGGTGACACTCGGATGTCAGACCCTCCCACCAAATGGCATAATTTTATCTAAAATCTGTGGCTGTAATAAGAAGGCCAAACCAAACTTACGGACTGTTCCTCAAAAGACAATAAGGATGCTCTCACCCAAAGATAGTATGTGAACTGCAGAGCAAAGATGGCAATGCCCTCGTTGTCATAGCTACCTGCCACTGAACGACTGATATAGCCTGGTACAATGGCAATGAAGCACGCAGCAAACAGGCCTGCTCCTGGTGACCAGAGCTCCTTTGTCAGCAGGTACGTAGAGATGGCGGTCAACCCACTGTAATATTTGGGAAACACTATCAAAATCCAGCTTCTGTGAAAAGTGTAGCTACAATAAATCTGACTTGATTCAGTCATGACACTTCCCCATTTAAAATCTCCCCCTTTTATAATCCCATGTTAATATTCTTAATTATACAAAGCAATACAAAGCTGTGTAAATGGTCACATTACTTAGAGCATACTGAATATTCCACAACATCCTGTACTATCCCTGAATTATCCCACCAACACTTGCATACCTGAATGTTGGAGCCAGAAACACACAGATGTCTCTGATGTGCACCGGAATGTTGAAGGTGTGCAACACATAGTGTATGCTTCCAGATGTGAGCATCAGGCCTGGATACACAGTGCCCCCCACAATGCGGCCCAGTGGGTACCAGGCCCTTTCATCAAACCAGTTCAGGAAATTATAAATACCATTCTTCACCATGTAAGCCGTGGAACGATAGTTAAACCTACGAAGAATTTTCAGTCACAAATCAAGGAGGAAGAGTGCAGGACACACATATAAAATATACTCCAGGACAGATACCTAGGCTTTTAGTTGTGGATGATATAAACAAGTAAACTTCAATCATCATTAAGCGCCAATTTGTAACATCTCAAGAAGGACTATGTACCACAAAGTTAATCAAAAAGCATTGTATTCAAGCAGCACACAATCAGCATGTACATAGCACATGCAAAGGAAAATCCAATGAACCAATGTGGTATGGCAATTCCAAAACTCACACACTTGATTAAGAATATCTAATGTGTTCTTCTCTGTCTCAATATCAAGACAGTCACTGCATTTCTTCCCTGCCATTTTTATGAGAAAATGGAAATAATTCCTATCTTCCTCCCAACGCAGTTCTTTTAACTGAATTGATGTGTACATAGTTAAAAACACAGAATTTCATTTAAATTAAAAAAAAAACATACTGGCACACATATGTGTGCCTAACAAAGGGCAGAACACACACATATTTGTCAAAAACAATTTTCAGAAATATGTTTGTCCTTATCCATGGCACCAGCTGACAGTTACTAGTCACAACACGGGAGCCCTGGACCCCAAGCACTTGTTCCCAGTACCAAATATAAAATTACACAGTAAGTAACTGTCTTACAAAGAATACACAAATGGTAACTTCATGATATGCCACTGCTTTATAATATCCTATGGAGATAAGCTATTTTAGATGCTTTAACATTACCTAAAAGTACTTACCAACAAAGATCAATAGCTATCTGAAATAACTAAATTAAACATAACCTAACATTAAATTTGAATATGTTCTATAAATTACTTCTAAATGTAAGAATATCACTATGTTAAACCACTTAAAGAGAAACTACTACAGGCCTATTGTAGCACTGAGAATGTTCATGGTAAATTTTTGCACACCGCCTACAGATACTGAGGAAAACTATTAAAATCAAAGTCAATTTTGTAAAAGCACGTTACCTCCTTTATGAATAATTATTTTCTCCAGAAAACATAATAAAATGAACTTACACCATAGAAAGCTTTGCTGTAGTTTAGAAGTCTCGACTCAAACATATATGAGATTTAACAACGGTTGTCTGATTTTGTGCCGTATCTTTGTCAATTATAGAATAGAATAGGATTTATTACATTCCATAGATCCCTCATAGGCCTAAGCCAAGGATGTAGAACAGGCCATAGCACAAATACAATACTTGTTTCTAGTACAAATATAAATACATAGTTATAAGAACTATTTACAGTTTTTTGGAACTACAGTATTACAGCAAAATAATTATCAGGAGAAACCATCACCATTATTACTTACATGTATTTATAATATTTGAGACTTTTTGGATGATGTAAATTCTTCTACCAAGGAGTGAGATAGGAGATACTCTTCTAACCCTGGCTTAAACATTTTTATATAGTGATTTAAACTTTCGATAGTAGGTGGAAGATTATTTAATAACTTAATTCCAGTACAGTAAATTCCTTTTTGATTTTTACTGCGGTTAGAATTTGGCACATGAAGGTTGTATCTGTATCTTTTCCTTATATTGTGGATATCTATATTTGTTTGAAATTTTTCAATGTTATCCACACCAAATGATAATAACGAGATCGTGAATTCACTGGGTAGTGGAAAAGTATTAAACTTCCTTAATAATTCCCTACAAGAGGCCTCCTTTTAGTGCTTGCCAATATTCTAATGATTTTCTTTTGAATGCAAAATACTTTTTTGCTGTACGCTGAATTTCCCCAGAAAATGATTCCATATGACATGGAATGGAAATAAGCAAAATAAACTAATTTTAAAGTCTCTGTTTTCACGAGTGCTGCAACTGTCCTCACAGCAAAACATGCCAAGCTTAGTTTAGGGACAATGAATTGAATATGTTTTCCAGTTAATTTGTTGGCCAAGAAATTTAATTGTTTCTACTTCCTCGATTATTTTATCGTCATACCCTACATTTAGATATACACAAGTTCTGTTGTTAGTACAAAATTTCATGAAATTTGTTTTGTCAGAATTTAATGTGAGTTTACTGGCTTTAATCCATTTGTTCAATCTAGCAAAGACATCAATTACGCAATTTTGAAAACAGTCAATTTCTGGATGTGAAATAATATTAGTATCGCCAGCAAAGAGTATACTCTAATTAAATGTCCAGTGGTTTAATATTAATGAAAGCAATCTTAAATTAATATGATTCATTACAAAGAAAGCCAATCTAACCTCATCATACAACGCCGACAAGTTACAATAACAGTGATACATGAATAACAGAACAAATTGAGCATCCAAACATACGCTGGCCTTTACATAAAGGAATAACTGTACATGACAATCCATATTTTTCTTTCTGATTTTTGCAGGAAAAAACACACCCCATACAAAGGCAAATTTGCTTACCAAGGATCGAATTCATGAATGATGCTTTCGAATCGTATTACAGCAAACAAACGAGAAGAGAATCCTGAAATCCATGCTAATAACAAAACTGTAAATGTTATTAAACTTTTCCATCCTGACGAATTCGATATTGACGATTTTATATAACTGCCAGAAGACGACACCGCCATGTTACCACAAACAATTCATAGACACGTATCAGAACGATTTCCATTGATGGCAATAATCTTGTTGTATAGGAATCATGGAAATTTTAATCATCAACGATAAGCCGTGCTTTGTAGTGAAAAATACAGGCGTTGGATTGACGAAACTCCTTTTCAATTACTTGAAAATTAAACAATATATCAGTGAACCAAAATGTATAGGATTTCAAAGAAATATTATATTAGAACAAAGCAGAGTAAATACAAAACCGATGATCGAGTTTTAATTTTGGTTCTTATTCTGCTGTAAATGGAAGACTCCCACTATAATTAACTTCTTCAATGTAAATTTAGTTGAGCATACCACTTGTTTCAGGAAAATGTTATGAAATCTTTCATTATCGTTAATAAATACATTCGTCGGAAATAGTGGTAACATTTTACTAGACAAGGCGTCATGTGTCTCTTCACCACAATCGATATCATCCCAGCCACGTGTATTCTGAGGTACGTGAGAATCTCAATAGGATTTGAGGTTTTCACGTCAGTGAGTCTGATGATGGCTGTCTTCTGGTGCGCCCTGACGATGGAGGCAGCAAGGACATCTGAAACGTCGGTAAACTTGTACCAGACTACATAACACAACAACCAAGAAGACTACCTTCACAAAGAACCTTCAGAAACGCACCCACTGAAGGTCAAGGTGCCAACCAATCAGAGTGCACCACGAATTACACCATTTCCTTGAAATGGGATTTTGTGATGAGATGGGCATTAATAGTTCACAAAAATGATTGAGGTTTTTATCACAAGATTTTAGAAGAGAAAAAATGCTCCCAATGTCAGTTTGACCTCCACTAATGTACTGCTACACAAGCACATTTTAAGGCTATTAATTACATTTTTTATACATACTTAAAAACTGAGTGTGTATACAAAAAAGCTGATATTTGAGGTTTACGCAGGAAGTTATAATCAATAACGTATTTACACGTCCACACTATGCTTAGCAGCCAATAGTATCACAAAATATACAGTACCTACCTGAACAAGTTTCTCAATATTAAGAAAAATGTAACACATGTCCACTTCTGAAGAAAACTAATATGGGTTTGCAGGCCAGGAAATACAAACTACAAGCCTACACACAACACATACCCACCACTTCTTATACTTAACAGCACCTGTGGCTGTTTTGCTCAGTGTTGTATTACAGCTTCAATGATATATGTATAGTTGTATTAATGAGGCTAAACTTTTTTCCCCTCAAGTTACTCTTACTTTGAGGAACCTGTATGTTATAGAAGTTCATAACAATGAAGGCAATAAGTTGCTCTGAAAACGATGACCAAACATTTTGCCAATTTGTTGGCAGGTTGGGGAGAACAGAAAGAAAAACAAGAGAAGCTTTGCACTGGAGAGGATATGACTGGGGTCACAAGAAAGAAAAAAGGACTTCTGAGGAAATGCATGATAAGGATTTAAATTTTCTACAGGTCCATAATATAGCAAAACTGAGAGCCTTTTTTACTTTTTACTCTCTTCCTCTTGAATATTCATGCAAAAACCACATACAGTTCAACTGTTTTTTGTCTAATTACTTATGCTATACTTATATATACAAACTTCACCAATACAATTAAGTATGTTTAATCAAAATACATGAACTGCACTTAGTTTTCAAATCTGAAGTTACACTAATGAGCACAGATCGAGTATTCTATGCCAAATAATTACAGATATGTTGTAGGACAGCACTGCTGATGAAAATGAAGGATGTACTGCACACTATCTCAGCACCAATTGTGTGATGATTGTGGTCCTTCAAAGAAGAATGTTAAAAAAACTAATATTACTTTTTGCAATCTGTATAATACATTTTACACTTCTGAATCGCCAAAGATTTTGTGACAATGCTCGACTCCTTATAGGTACACAATTGTGGACATTGTCAGAGGTACATTTAATAGACACAGTGTTTCAGGAGTTAGCTCTACTGCTGTCTTCAGGTGGTTAGTTGCCATTATACCGACTTTTTCTTACATATTATTATTGACAATGGTCAAGATTAAACCTGGAACCCAGGAATAAATATATAGGAAACACACGAAGGCCACTTAAGACGACCATAATCACCAAACATTAGAATGGGAGAAACAACCAAGTCCAAAAGAGTACAATGCTTGTGGAGATGATGATGATATAGTACCACGGAATAAGGCAGAAACCATGCACAAACAAGGTAAAAAAATCATTAGAAAACTGAAAGAGTCAGCACTCATTAGAACAACAGTTAACCGAGCATAATGTGGCTCCCTCTACTGTGCAATATGAAAACTATATGTGTTGCAAACACAGCAGCAGATGCTGAAAGAAATTCTCACCTGAACCTTAGTACCCTGCTCTCTCCAACTCTTTCAACTGACTGCCCAATTTCTCTTCTTTGGTTTTCCTTGTCTGGCTCAGCTGCAAAATCAGTGGAAAGATATCCGAGTGAAAAGCGGTTCACTGTACCGAAAAATGCATATAACATGAAGTTCTCATTATGGCAAATACTAGAATATATTACCAGTCACAAGAGCAATTTCTAATCAACTGAATAACTCCTATTTATTTTTGTTCTTTCCTAACAAGAGTTTAAACGTAAAAAGATCCTGCAAGTGGATCGGAGCCACAACACAAGCCTCCGTAAAAATGGAACATAACACCTCACATACAGACTGCTTACGAAAAATGTGACGTAAATGATCGTTGCTGGTGTACGTGCAAGTATCCAGTCATCTGCCCACATAACACTCTTCAAAATTTGACCCCGCTGGTGGATTCTAGTAACACAGACTGAAACTGTGCCCAAATCATCCTCCAATTTCGCAATCACGTTCAACTTAGGTTTCCAACTTTAATTCTTAAAACAACCCACTGTAACAGCCTCAAGGTCTTTCCTGCTTACGTTGTTATTCATAGTTTTCTAATACTTAAGTTTTTAGTTCTCATACAAAGAGACGTTCTACAATTATGTACATTTCTGAGGTAATACATTTACGTAAAAACCTTAAGACCCACACATGGATCCTAGTGTTTGTTAGCCCATTTAAAGATATATGTATATACACAACTATATAACAGGGTCAGACTTTAAGCATGAAGTGACCTGGTTTGTCTGAAACATGTAGCAGAGAGCAAGATGACTGCCACAAAATAAAAGCTGTGCAGAGTTATTTTCATATCCTTTTTATCAGAGATACAGTGCTTCTAATTCTCCAAAAATGCTGAAGTGCATCGCAAAGTGAGGGAACCACTCACAGTTCGTTTTTGAAGGTACATGCTCACAAACTGCTCTACACTGATCTTGCCACTGAGGAATTGTTCTGCAATCTGTTCACTCTCTTCATCACTGTGCAAGGCTGCCAACCTGAGAGACTCCTACAAACAGCAAAGCAAAACAAAACCAAGCCTCACATCACCGTACGTTTCTGTAACTTCTGTCAGAAACATTTCACCAATTAACTTCTTGGAGCTTCAACATACTCAGGACTTGACTTGAGGCCTGCGTAAGAGTTGCAGAATGTAACAAAATAAATATTTTGTGTCATGTACAGCTTTTGAGAAAAGATGCCTTCATACAAGATGAAAGATGGTAAAAATAATGGCACAGTGACACATCTAAACATTACTTGTTAATGCTAAGCAAGATACAACTTCCCTTGCATGCAGACTGTTGAATGTAATATATACACCTCACATTTTGTACACTTTTATGCGGTATAAATTGCTCGAGTAATTATAAATTTAGTATTGGGGTAAATAAATAAAGACATGTATACACAGCACATTCAACAGAACCGGAGATTTTACATTTCAAAATGACGCCAGTAATGTCATTGCTGTCAGGGCTGAGCACCTCTGCCCTTGCCTAGGGGATGTTCCTAAAATGAAAAACATGCACACTCAGTGAGCACCTGAATAAAAGTAACATTCTCACTCTTCTATGACGCTGCTTCAGTCACTGCAGAGAGTGGAAGCCTGCACACTGGCGCAGCTTACCTTGATACTGCTCGGAGCATATTTGTCTGACAAGCGCTGGTACTCCTGGCTCAGACTTTCATATGAATCCTTCAGGATGGCAAGCGCCTCCAGTTTGTCTTGTACGCCGTACCTCAGTTTCTCCAACTGTGGCTCCTTTGTCAGGTTTTCCTCTGCAATTCATGCCATGATGGTGTAATGAGGGAGTAGAGGTGTAAATCTCCACACATTCTCATTCTTGGCCCCACACAGAAGTGAGGGGTCAACTTCATTGATCTAAGATTTACAGCTCTTGCCTGTTATATACTGTAATATAAAAGATTTTTAAAGATGTATTTCATAGCTGAACACATTATGGAAATTCTAATCACATCCTAAAATTATATTTACTGAACACACAATGGCAGGGATCAACAGTATATACAATATGCTGTGTCCTGGAAAATTTTATCAGTAGTGACTTTCTGTGTGCTCAATGCAATAACTAGTACCCACTAGCTAGCTCTTCATTCTTGGAGATCATGTCCTCCACTGCATTATTCAGCTTCAGCACAGGAGGCAGCTTGTCAATAAACTCGTCCAATCTGTCTTCGCTCTGGCTCAGATGCTCCAGTTCTGCAGCTGACAGATCTAGCAGCTCTGGAAATGAGAGGACTCGCTGCTGCTGCTGCTGAGCAAATGCCAGCATCATGTACGGTGGGGATGTGCGGCCACTGGTGCATGACTCTTGTCCTAAGTAGAGAACCCAAATTAGGAGAGTATTTAATACAAATATATCAATCCTCAGTTGGAATAGAAAAGCCTCTTTACTTACTGCACAGATTTTCTCCCTTTCCTTCATCTCATTCACAACACTGAGCCAGCTGAATGTTACACAAACAAACAATACACTATTACCTGTGCAGGTTTCTTACAGCTACCTCATCCCTCTTCAAATTAATTTTGATTATGAAATAAATATGGAGCTTGTGGCCCTACCATTCTCACCCGTATGATGTGTGGTGGATGTTCCTCCACCCGCATCTCCAACAAGAGGAGGGGGTCTGCGTTCAAACTCCCGGATTATCGCCTGCACAACGCGACCCAGATCGGAGTGAACTGTGAACTGCACAAACAAAATTCAGACCTACACTATCAGATAGCACCAGTACCTGAGTGCAACATCTTGAACACCCAAACACTTACATTCAAAAGCCCTGGTGCACTTACAACCTTGCACTGCTCATTGACCCACGGGTGGTCAATCTGAGGCGAGACCTTGAGCACAGGCTTCTCGAGCGGGAACTCTGGAGGCAGTGACACCTGGATGGTCATACCATGTCCTCCCGCACTGAACTCAACTCGATACTCTACATCCTCCTGGATCTCCGTCACACTGTTACATGCAGACAACATTAACTACTACAGGCTAGTGGGATGTGGAAGAAACCAACATGCACATGGGAAGACTGAGTGAACTAAAAACATGGCATCACCATACTATACCTGTTAACATCCAACCATTCTTATTTCATTAATTTTGTTACTTGTGCAATAAATAAATCAAAAACACAGACACCCATGGTGCAGAAGTAACAGACATAAAAGTTTTCACAGAACTGAAAAAAAGTTTATGATCTCCAACTTAAGATGGGTAAATCTTTATAACAGCTGGTACCTATGCCTGTAAATTTAAATCTGTATTTTAAACTAATTCGTTTACTTAATTACTAGGCAGTAATTTGCTAGTAACATCATTTAATACACAACGAACTTACTGATCATTGAATATCTTCAATGTATCAATCTGTCTCTTCCTATTCACGGCGGCATTTTCAGTCTCTCTAAATATCCGTGACAACATTTAATTTCATAGATATCTAGTCCTCATTACGCAAAACACGAACAATTGAAAACAGAAAACAAGAAACAAGCCTAACCTAACAACCAACACACTACGCATGCTCAGAAAGCAGATGGGAGAACACTGGTGACCGTCACCGATGAACGAGCTACCACAGATAACAAACAGCACACACAAATTGAAAGAATAAATATTTCTTACGGACCACCACTAGATGGGACAGTAAGCTTCAATCATTGAACGCCAGATGGCAGAATACGTTGCACGGGCGCTTCTGGTGTCACGACTCAGGAAAAATAAATCGATATCTGGACATCACATAATTTACGTCAATAATAATTTTATTTTAAAAATTATTATTACCGTTGATTGTGTGTGCTTGTCATCCTCCTTACTGTCGTCGGTAATTTTACTAACATCGCCTTTCCCATAATTCTTAGAGCGCTTCGCCACTAACCTTTCAGAGTACATAATGCAATGCCTTATAATCTTCAAAAACAACGCTCAAAGTGGGAAGAAACGCAAAGGTAATAATTTGAGCAACATTACAGAACGTAATGCCGGAAATAAACAAGACGCCCGGACTTTACGCGGCTGCGTGCCGACCTTGTGGTGTCAGGCCAGCGCACTCGTCGCAAAACCGCAGTTTCGCCGCACACAGCCTACAATTTTGACAATCGTCTGCGTGATTTTCCCACTTCATTCGCGGAAACAGGAGTCCAGCTTTAGACCCAAAATATCATTTGTAAAGGGCGTACTCCTCCGGAATCTTAGCGAGAAGTTCATTTCACTAAACTTAGTGGAAAAAGGCGTACAACATTTTATTTCGCGAGCAATTTTTTAAAAATCTTCATCTTCATGGGGTGAAAGGAACAAGGAACCAAAATTAACTTCATACCTTCCGGAAACTCGAAAGGTTCACGCCCCACGCAGTCTGGGAAAAGTTTACCATCGCCCTGATGATGTAGGCAGCAAGGACCTCTGAAACGTCAGCCATCTGCATGCTACGGAGAATTCTGATGTCCAGTCATAGGCAGGACACAGGGAGGGTTAGTAGGTTCAGAGGTTATTTAAAGACGTTGTATCAGCTGCACTCACCTGCGGTGTACTTCCGGTTATAATGAGATGCCACGTGTCGCGCTATATTGGAACGAATTTATTTATAAATTTGTACAGAGAACTACAATTTGTTTTTTCTGCAAAATAAAACGAAGTTATACAAAATGAAATGTTACAATATTTACACTTTCTATTGCGGTATGTACCGACTCTCAAGTACATGCACACTCACTCTCGCACTCACACGCTGTGTCCGTCGCCTGGTTACAACCTAACCTAACCTAACGTAACCTAACCTAACCTAACGTAACCTAACGTAACCGCGGTCCTTCCGTCGCTTGTCATCTGCAGCCGATCGAGAAATTGAGACCGGAAAGCAGAACAAGTGACGCGCGAGGCACCGGCGGTGTTCTACG